CAAAAAGCAAATGTGATCAAGCATTAGAACATCGCTCCTGGCGGCTGAGATGCCCCATCGGACATCGGACATCATTTGGGCAAGGTTAGCTCGAGGCTGACTGGCAAGTTGATACGAGAAGTAGGCGACAGACACCCTCACAAAAGCTTCCATACATCTCCCATTTATTCACTCGATTTCTCGATTTGCCCCATGCTGAAATGTACAAATCAGCATCAAACTTATACCAACCCAAGCGAACAGTGACAAACATTTCGACTTCCTTGCCCCAGTTTCATGCATGCTCATGGTCATTTTGGTACATTTGCTGGTATTCCCTTCCCTCGGCCAACCTGCCGCCCAGCCTGTGATTGTTTTGGGCGCCTTGGAGAAGCCCGGTTAGGCTGGAAACCACAGCAACGATCGATTCTCTGTGCACACTCAACCCTCGCCCGGCAAGATAATTGTATCAGCCGTCGTCTTACCCGGTTTTTGTTCACCAGTTCCGACAAGACATGGTCGAGCGCCGAGGTAGCAACGAGACTGTTGGCCGTCTGAGTGGGTGGTGCCCTGAAAGGGATAGAAGGAGGCTGGACAATCGGTAGGAGAGGTTGGCAGGGCAGGGCAGGACAGGGCAGGGCTTTAAAAAGGCAATAACCAGAAGACCTTGGAGCTGTAAACTGACAGTTGAACAGTGCCATTCGTGTGCCTGAGTGTGTGCAGAAGGCCTGTTCATGTGTGAAGGGAAGCCGGGTGTGTGTGTCCGGAGTCGACGTGGCCAAGAGCCAGAGCGTTGGCCAGAAAAGTGGGATTTCCCTTCAATTGGGTGTTCCGACAAAAACAACTTCAGAGCCAGACAGAGACGCGTGTACATCTTAGCGCTTAGACGTGCATGTGTGCAAGCGTGGCAATGGGCAAGTGGACGCAGCAACCATGGGGATGATCAATATGGTTGCCCCACAACCGGGTTCAAGGAAACCCAGTCGAAATAGGATAAGGAAGCTGGGCATGGCGATTCGGGGCAAGCAAAGTGAAATGTCATAAACAATTGCGGAAAGAGCCGAATACAAGACATCGTGCAAGAAGGTTGTCTCTTGTCGAAATGTGCTGAGCGAAACCAACCAGACCAGTTGGTTGTCATTAGCATTTGTGGGTGTGTTTGAAGTCTGCCACCTATTTCATCTTTACTGGCGCCATGCAAGTGTGCGTCAACAGGATGGGTTGTTGAGATGAATGAAGAAAAATGCGAAAACCAGATTAGATATTGGGCAAAATAGTGTCCTGTACAAATCGAATGTTCTTCTCACTCTAGTCATGATGTTTGAGCCTATCAAGCCACGAGGTCCTTGCGCCATACAGAAAGATGCAGGGGTACTTAAGCTAACCGTCTACTAATAGAACATCTATATTTAGCACAAGGGTGAAGTGATGTGAAGAGTGTGAAAAACGGAGACTGTAAGCAATTGAGTACAGTTTGGAGTTTGCCAAAAGTGAAAATTACGCCATGTTATCCTTTTGATTGAAGGATTAAATGGGTTTTCGACCTTTCAAATGATAAATATATTTGCTCTTCCCATCAGAAAACTTTTCAACAACCACACAAATGGAATACAACAGCACAAAGTCGGCTTTGTTGCACATGCCAGTGGCATACTTCTAGCACACAGTCACTTTGCCTCAACAGGACAACAACTGCATAAGACGACGTTGCTAACCGCCTAAATTAGGCATCTCAATGACTGACATTTGAAGTGATTGTTGAAACACATTTTCTAGGCTTATTTTGTCTTGCTCAGAGTTCAAGGCCTCGATTCGGAGGCCGATTGCTGATACGATAAGAGCACGTCAGCATAACTAGCGGCAGATAAGAAAAATTGTTCGCGCAAATGTATCCGTTTCGAAAAACTCACTCAAACGGGCGCACATTTGCATGGTACAGAATGGAATTAGGCTACAAGTTGGGTTGAAGAAGAGACTTAGCAATCGGAAACGGGAGTGTGGTGGGTGAGGGTGGACAGCTCTGAGATACAAAAGGTACCAGCGTAGGGAGAGGAGAAATTCGTCAAAAATTAGACAAAATTTTGCTAAACGAATTTTCCTTAAAGTCTCATTTCCAGACATTGTGGCTCACTCATGAGGATGCTGATAGCAACGAATGAGGCCGAATACCATTCTGGCGAAAAGTCTGAGAATGTGACTATGCGACAATCGCCTCTCGGGACAGTAATTGTAGTTGATGCAGATTGAACTAAGCACCACAAAGAGGTCATGAAATCTGGATCATGTTGCAAAAACGACGTCGACCTAAAAATATACACCAACAGGGAATGGCGATCAGCGCAAAGATCACACAATCCTGGTCTATCTATCTATCCAAATTTGTTTAAATATCATCATCATCATCATCATCATCATCATCATCATCATCATCATCATCATCATCATCA